AAAATTAATGCTTTCCACAAATCATCACTTTCCGGTACAAAATTCGACATTTTTAACACGATGAAAAAATATGATGTTGTCTGTTCAATGACTTGATGTATACTAAATATGTTTCACAGATGTCATAGCAAACAAACAAAAAAAAATAAAGGCTCGTTCACAACAAATGTTCCCTATCGAGACATTTGTATCTTGACGCTCACTTCATACTTGTATACCTGGTAGAGTAAAGAGGTGCTAAGTGGAAGCACATAAAGGAATCGTTAAAGGATTTGAACCTGATTTCACGCCAAATAGGTGATATGATGCACATGTATACCCCTCTGCCAAGCATGGGACTATTAGAGTCTTTGTTAATTAAAGGATAGTACCCATCAATATTGAGATCAGAAGAAGAAATAGCATAATTTAGATTAGTCTGACTAAGAGCAAGCAAGTCTGGTGAATTTTGCGAGAGGTAAGATTCAACTGATGGAAGGTTGCTTTGGACTCCCAAGCAATGAGCTATGAATTTTCTCAGTCCTGTTAATTAACCCTAAGTGCTCCTTATGTGGCCTCAACAATGCACACCAAAAGCATGAAAAGGGACACCATCTATGCCCAACATGGCACTGTTAATACTCTGATATTTTGTTACTGTTGATGGAATCAGCCTCTCTGAGAGCTACAACAGAGTTCAAGAAACCTTACTATTAGCCAGCCTCAGAACCACTAAACTAAGTTTCAGAGCTGTACCCTCATTAGGAGATAACAGGAAGAGTTGCATAACAACTATCAAAGCAAAACCCTATGAGAAAAGTTAAGAAGATCGAGCATTCATTATCCTAAGCAGCAAACAATATAACAAAGATTTACATCTACGCCAGCCTAATAGATAAAGAAGGGGTTTGAGGCTAGTCAACATAATTATTCTGCTTACCTCTAAAGTTTTTACTTAAAAGGCCTTCTACAAGACTGTAGCTGGATGCAGTTAATATCTTCCCAAGATGAGTATTTTAATTGAGACATCATCTCTAGCCTTTACTCTTCCAAAAGCCCCATTGCAGGGAACTTTTCAAGTCAAAGTTTGTTTCTCCAAACCTTTGCCTGAAAAAGCACCCTCTACTCTAATAGTTAATGAGCTTAAACAGAACACTGAACAGAACACATACATACATAAAGTAACTTTTGAGTGAGTAAACACCACGCCAGAGGTTCAGACAGAACACTAAAATACATATAAATGTAAACAGACAGAACACTAGCATAGTATAAATATTTATAGCCAGATTGAAAAAAATTTGAAAATACATTGTGTTAAGGGGCAGATTTGAATCCTCCCAAAATGGCACCAATGACAGGGCATTAAACCACTTATCTATCAAATTTATACATGTAATTAAAAAACAAACCATTTTATAAAATCTTATACTGGTTGCAATTAATCAACACTTTTCCAGCGGGCTCTCTAAATAAGCACAGCTTTATTACATAGCATCTAATATAACATAATATAACAATAAATAAATGTTATATGCAAATGTAAAAAATTCAATTGTAAATAAGTCTTTTTTGCTTAAACTGTTTTGTTTTGAATTTTTGTATTTATGCTATTCTATTTAAAAAAATTGAAAATATTGAAAAAACAAAAAATATATTTTCTCACCCAAGTAGAAAATTTAAAACTTCAATTTTAGATTTACCCTTCTCTTGATAATTTCTTATTGCTAAAATTACATCATCTTCTTAGTTCCACCATTTGTTTCTTAGCTCTGCCATTTGTATTGCATTATGTACAAATATCTGTAAGTGTCTGTAAACGCCTGTAAATGTCTTCAGCATATGTTGAGTTTGCAAGCAGTATATGGAACAATATATGTATATATGAGAAAATTTTATTTTAACAATTGGAAGTCATTTTTGCTATAAATATATAGGCAAGATTAAAAAAATTTCAAAAATTATCATGCTAAGAGGGAGGTTTTGAATCCCCAAAACAACACTGATGATACAATTGATGACGGACCCGTAAAATCACTGATGATTTTATGGGTCTTGAAAGCTAGTATATATTTAATATATATAAGTAAGGCTAGTTTATATTTATAAGGAAAAAATATAATAAAGTTTGGTGTGAAAAAGACTTACCAAGCTCCCTATTTTTAAAGGTCCAGTTAGCTAGTATACATCTGCGTCCAAAAGTTTGCGAACTTATGAAAATTCCATGAAAGATTACAATCAATTAGTACATCAAGATATTTAATAACTCTTGAAGGATATAGCCGTTTATTATTAATTTTGATTTTGATTTCAACATTTTTAAAGAAATTGTTTTTTCTTGAAGATGAAAAAAATTAGTTCAGTTTTTTCGGTGTTGAGACATTAGGTTAGCATTTAACCAGTGAACTATACCTTTTAGATCCGAATTAACATTTTTACATAAAGAATGATATGATTTGTTGATGTGCAAGAGATTTGTATCATCAGCAAACAGATGGACTGAAGAGAAGTGAACAGAGTTAATTAGGTTGTTAACGTAGATTAAAAACAAAAGAGGACCTAGAACAGAACCTTGTGGAACACCACACAAAACTGATTTATAACTAGATTTGAAATTATATATAGATTTATAACTAGATTTATAACCACACAAAACTGATTTATAACTAGAATTGAAACCATTAATACTTACAAATTGTTTTCGATCTGAAAGATAAGATCAAAACCATTTACAATACCGCAAATTCCAAAATGTTATAATTTAGAAATCAAAATACTATAGTCAACGGTATCGAAAGCTTTATGTAAATCAATAAAAACACCATAAACGAAATGACCAGTATCAAGAGCTTTCCTGATTTTTTCCGTTATACTTATTAATGCATAACAAGTAAAATGTTTTGATCGAAAACCAAATTGAAAATCATTTAAACAATTAAATGAGTTTAGAAAAGAGTAGACTCTAGAATACATAAGTTTCTAAAGAAGCTTACTAATGTTAGATAAAAAAGAAATAGGTCTGTAGTTAGTGCATGAAAGTTTAGAGCCATTTTTAAATATTGGAATAACGCAAGATAATTTCAAAATATCAGGAAATTTTCCATTTATAAATGAGGTATTAAATAGTTTAGAAAGAATATTTGAAAAATCGTAATTAAAATCTATAAGAATATTTGTGGGAATGCTGTTTGGACTTGATGATGATGTTTTTGGTTTTAATTTACATATAAGAGATGAAATTTTTGAAAAATAATGTTTTTGGTTTTAATTTACATATAAGAGATGAAATTTCAGAAATTTTTGTTGGAGATAATAATAAACTATGTAAATTTGAATGTTTAAGATATTTTTGATAGTTAATGTAAGATGAATGAATATTGGATTTGAGTTTATGAGCAACATTTGTAAAAAAAGTGTTAAATGATTCAGAGAATAAAGTCGGGTCAGTTATATATGTATCATTTTCTTGCAAACAGTTGGGAGATGATTTATTCAAATTTTTTACATTAATTATTCTCTATAAATCTCAAATCCGGCCTTGTATGGAATACTGTTGCCATATCTGGGACGGATCTTCTAATGATGCCCTTTCTCTTTTAGACAAGGTGCAAAAACGCATTGTAAACATAGTTGGACCTGCTCTTGCAGCCAACCTTCAACCTCTGTCACATCGTCGTAATATTGCTTCTCTTTCTCTTTTCTACAAATACTATAATGGGCACTGCTCAAAAGAGCTAGCGTCTCTTGTGCCATCTACTAAAATTCATTCTCGTGTTACTCATCATTCAATTAAGTCTCATCCTTTTTCTGTTACTGTTCCTAAGTGCTCCAAAAACTCTTATTTGTCTAGTTTTTTTCCTTGAACATCAGTTCTTTGGAATTCGCTTCCTTCATCTTGCTTTCCTGATTCATATAATTTGCAATCTTTTAAGTCGTCTGTCAATCGTTATCTTGCTCTACAATCTTCATCTTTTCTCTTCCAGTAACTTCCAACTCTAATTAGTGGTTGCTTGCAGCCTTGTTGGAAGCGAAGATAATTAAAAAAAAAAAAGTTAGAGTGTTAATACTTTTCCAAAGATTGTGAAGATTTTTAAATTGTTTTAAATGCTTTTTAAAGTTTAATTAATGTAACTATTATTTATTTATATCTTTTAAAAATACTTTCAAATTTTTTTTTTATTAATAAGATCTTTAGATCTTAACATTTTTTTTTTGGAAAAGATTGTGCACTTGAATAGATTTTATAATTCCTTTTGTAATCCATGGTTTGAATTGACTGAAGTTTTTTATACCGATTTTTTGTAATTGGGGAGTAAGAAAATAAATAATGAAAAATATAGTTATATATATGTAAGACTATTATGTTGCCTCATGCAAAGGATAAAATGCCTCAAGGATGGATATACCAAAAGGATGACGATCCCAAACATACAGCCAAATTGGTTTTAGAGTTTTTCAAAAAGAGTAAAGTTAATGTTTTGAAGTGGCTATCCCAATCACTTGACTTAAATTCCATTGAACATCTATGATAACATGTTGACCGTCAAATTAAAGGAATCAAGCCTACAAACTATGCTGATTTATATAATAAAATCAAAGAAATATGGGACTTAATTCCCATTGACGTTTGCGTTCATTTAGTTGACTCTATGCCTCATAGATGCCAAGCTATTCTTGACTGTAAAGGATATGCTACAAAATGCTAATGTAATTTTGCTTTTCTTTAAATTTGTGATCAAATATTGTTAAAAAATTTGTACTGTTTAAAAAAATAATGCTTAGTCCGCAAGTTTGTGAACTTATCAAAAACTGTTGATTTGTATACCATTATAAAAATATTATTTCGATAATCATTATTTGTTCAAAATCTAATTGTAAATATATATATATATATATATATATATATATATATATATATATATATATATATATATATATATATATATATATATATATATAATATGACATATGTGTCTGTGTGTATAATAATATCAATAAACCAAATTTTAAATTAATTTTAGCAAAATTGGCATCATTCTCTATTGACAGCCAAAACAGTGTTTTTCCTGCCACATATGGAATTCGATTATATGAAAATCCTGATGTGTACGTGTGTCATGCAGATGGTACTTCTGATTTGGTTATTAGCAAGCTTTCTGATAATTGTGCATTTTTTATGGTTCCTATAGAACTTGATATGAATTCATTTCAACCTTCATGTAAAGATTTTTGTCAACAGGTGGATGTTTTTGAGATTTAAACATATGATAATTGTTATTTAAAGATTACTAATTTAGGTAGATGACATAGATATTTAGATGTTTTATATTTATTAGTATATTAAGTTATACAAAACAGACGTAAGATGTGATAAAATTCTAGATGTGGGTATACATAAATTGTACAGAAGTTTTTTCTAACTTTTACTTTTTTGTGTGTTTTGGCAATGGCAGTTAATGCTTAATTCTTGTACTTAAAGTCATTTTAAAAGTTAGACTTAGTGTCTTTTTTTTAATAACATTGAAAAAATGATATTAAGTCTTTTTACCACGTTTTTATTAGCTCGCTTTCTTGTTTGTTTGTTTGTCCGGGTGGAATTTTGCAACTCAATTTTAACCCACTTTTTGATTAGCTAGAGCTCTGAAACTTTTACTATAGCTCAGAACCCGATGACAATGTAATATTATACTACTTTTACCATGAGTTGCTGAGTTTCTTGAACAATTTCAGCAAAATAAAATTTATTATGTCAAAACTTTTGGAGGCGTTGCCGCAATTTGACACATCGCTTTAAATAAAAAATTTTCGAACAAAAAAACTAAATTTAACTGTCGTTGTGATTTTAAATGGACCGCAGCATAAAAACAAAATCAGTTGTTTACAAAATATAAAATTCCACTCATCAAAAACTAAAAAGAAGAAAATAATATAACAAATAAAAAAACTTTTTATAAAACCACGTTTTTGTAATGAACTAAAAAGTAGAAAATAATTTTCTCTTGCGGCTATAGAAATTTTTGAAAATTAATTGAGTCAATAGTAAGTGACATGAAAACTTTTGATTATGAACTCTTAATAATTACGATAATATTTGTAAAATTTTAAACAAAAAACGTGGTGCGCATTTGACGAAAAAAAAGAACAGAAGAAGGAAGCAATAGTTAAAGTAATTAAGGGCGATGATGATCATTTAAAGTGACAAGATGCGCACCATGTTTTTCGTTTAAAATTTTACAAATATTATTGTAATTATTAAGAGTTCATAATCAAAAGTATTTATGTCACTTACTATCGACTCAATTAATTTTCAAAAATTTCTATAGCCACAAGAGAAAATTATTTTCTACTTTTTAGTTCATTACAAAAACGTGGTTTTATAAAAAGTTTTTTTATTTGTTATATTATTTTCAATATTGTTGATTCTAGCTGGATTTTTTTGACATCATTGTTTGAACTAGTAAGCAACCAAGGCTGACATTTGATCAAGGCTGGCGCATTTGTATAAATATATATACATATAAATTTATATATATATATATATATATATATATATATATATATATATATATATATATATATATAAATATATATATATATATATATATATAAAATAAAATAAATATATAAAATAAATAAGTATATATATATATATATATATATATATATATATATATATATATATATATATATATATATATATATATATATATATATATATATATATATATATATATACATGCTGACAAAGATTGATTTCTGAATTGTTAACTACATCAAGAATTTTTGCGTCATTTGCATACATTTTACAAACTATTTTGCTGCTAATGTTTTCTGGAAAATTATTTATATAGACTATAAATAGTGTTAGACCAAGAACTGGTTTATTCAAAATGCTACTATAATTTCAAGTAAGTTTGTAACAAAGGATTTTTTGCTGACAAATTTGTGTTGATATTTGGAGAGATTTTTTGAAAATAGAGTTTCATTTGCTACAAGTCATGCCTTTGGTAATGACTTCATGAAGCCACTTATGCTTTGATTATGAATTTATTCAAAATATTTTTAAATAGATTCATAATCAAAAAAAAGGTTCAAAGTAGAAGGAGATGAATGTTTGGGAAACAGAGGTAGAGTTTGATAACAAGGTTTCACAATAAAGGCAAATTTGAATATTTTAATTTACTGGTAATCAAATCTCTATTGCTACAGTGTTGCCAGGCAAAGAATACAATTTGTTGATTCGATTCTTGACAGTACATTTGCTGTTAATATTAGAAAAAGTTCTATTTGGATTATCTTTGTATAGGGCTAGTTTTTGCTCAAAAGAATGAATTACATTAAAAATCTCTTTCTTTACAAGGTTTTGAATTGTACTTATTAGAGCTTTTTTTTGTTTGTTGTTATGGTTAGGAAACCAGATCTCCTTCATCTTTGATAAGCAATAGCAAGGTTAACCAGGATCTTGGGTTAACCAAGTTAATCAGCATTTCTTGAGTAAAAGGGATGCATGGAATGAGTTCTTCACAGTCATTGTCGTAGATATTATATTTAATATCTATTTGATGATTGGAAAGTTTTAATGATTAGGTCTGCAGACTTTTTTTTTTATAAATTATTCTGGCATAAGATGCAAGGAACCCAGAGGTCAAAGGGTCTAAATAAAATTTTTGAAAAAAATGATTTAAAAAATGAATGAATTGCGAAAATAGTTATCTATTTGGTAGTGAAGTGATCCTTTGGATTATTTGGATTATTATATATATAGTGCCTGTGAAAACAATCTTAGTGATTGTTTTTACAGGCACTATATATATAATAATCCAAATAATCCAATAAAAATCCAAAGTTCTGATTGCTATTCATTTATCACCAATTTAAATTATCTCTTTTATAAAAATTTTTTAATTTGACTTATTTTTCTTTAAACATTGATTTTGTTATTCGAGCAACTTGACTTGTGGGATCCTCAAATAGTGTTTACAATTTCCTTTAAGGTTTTTATTCCACTGGTGTGCAGTAATGCAACAATAGGAAAGTTTTTCTGTTACAAGTTAAGTTTTAGCCACAAATGTTTTGATAGTTTAACAGCAAATCTTACATGTGTTTAGAATTTTTTAATTTGCTTACAGTGAAGTGTATTAATGTAAATAGCAACACCACTACAATGTATAGATCTGTCTTTTTGAATGATTTTATAACCTGGAAGAAATATACCTAAAATTTCCATAAACTTAGTTTCTTTGGTAAAAATGACATTATATTTATTGTTAGTAACAAATAGTGAAAGTCAGAAAACATGTTTTGGTTAAATGATTTAGCATTGGTAAACAGCTTAAAAGAATATTAAACGTTGATTTAGTTTTAAAGTTTATCATTATTGTTTGTGTTCTCACAACAACATGTTAGATAGTATAGAAAAAAGTTAGGAAACAATTTTTTTAATTTTTATATTGTTTTACAATTTTTAGGAAGAAAAACCGTTAGCTCAAAATAGAGCTCCTAATAACAACTTTGCACCAGAAGATAATAAAGAAGCAACCATAGAAACTTTGCATCTTTTAGATGCTTTAGCACGACACGCTGCAAGTGTTGCCACAGGTATAATTTAACATAAAAATACAAATGTATATTTTATAAAGATATTTTTATTCCCAAAATCTTTTTTTGCTCTCCTTTGATTTTTTTTTTGTTATTTGAAGTTTGTTACTTTAGGCTTACAAGTTTTTTTTTATTTCAAACAACTGTGTTTGTTATTTAGAGATTAAATTTATAAATAAAACTTAAAATCAAAACCAAAAGTAAAAACAAAAATGAGAAAAAAACGGAAATAAAAAAAAAATATAAAAAGAAAACACATGGTTTAAAATGCAAATCATAGTGTTGTTGAAATTTGTAAGTCTTTTCTATTGCATTTAAACTCTTACTAAAGATAGATGTTTTTGGTGTTTCTGGACTGATGCTGAAATGGATTAAAATGTTACTCATTTAAAAAAATAGAATTTAAAGTGTATATAGATTTTTTTTCTTGTAAAGAGATATTTAGCAAAGTACCGCAAGTTTCCAGTAAATAGTAAATTAGATAACATAAACCATCGCGTTTCTGTTATCTAATTTACTATTTACCTTTTTTTATTAATTTGCCAACATTGTTTAATAACTACAAAGTTTATGTAGATGGATTTTATAAAATAAACTAGGTTATTAGTTTTCAAAGTTATTTTAGTTAAGCATTTTAATACAATGTTATCATTATATCACTTATTAAACTGATTGTTGTAATAAGTAATGTAGAAATACAATAATGTTTTAGAAGTTTTATTCACATTAACTTCAAAAGTTGTATGTTGTGAGTAAAGGCGCAAGCTGCATGTTGTGCAGAAAAGCATTTTCATCTAGCTGTTATGAGCTGGTAAAATAGATCACTCAACATTATTAGAGTAGTTTACTTGAGGTTCAAGAGGTTCAATTAAGGTGGGCAAGGCTTCTTAGCTGCTGGAAAGATAACTTACTTATGGGAAGCAAGACTCTGATATAAAATCTCTAATTTAATTGTGTGTAAGTGTAGCTGATAAGCCTTAGTAATCTTTCAAGTATCACAATAAAGTTTTTTGATCTGAAAACAAGTTAACAGGCTAACAATAAAAAGAGTATCTTGTTATTAAAAGTTGCTTCAACTCTTCTATAATTTAATATTTCAATAAAATATTATATGGGAACCCTTCTAAATCATACATGTCAGCACCCATAAATGCTAAACTTATTAAAGAAATATTAAGGTGGGAAGATTATGTCTTGTATTTTGTTTTGCAGATCTAATATTCTAAATAATATATAATATAATTTGAACTTTGTTTTATTCCTACTGTAGTTGTATATGTCACAATCTTGATAAGGTAACCAGGTAACAAGATAACTAGGCTTAAATAGTTAATTCAAAGTGTAACCAAAATTATATTTTGTAAAGTACTTTCCAAAGAATTTGTTAGAAAAACTTGGCATGCTGTTGAAGCTAATTTGACTTCTTGGTGTTTCCTTTGAGATCATCAGTTATAGACAAATGCTAGAATTGATTTACTCAATTCTAACAATAGAATTGAGTAAATCAAGCTCACACATTAGAGTGGATTCAATTGAGTGCAATGGGTTATTTTGGCTGACTTTTTAAAATATTTTATAAATTAGTTGACTTTCCAGCATAGTATGATCTTGTTGATATTGATAGAAATAAGATAGTTGTTAGACCATTTGACTAGACTATTAAAGTCTTAGTGAGTGCTTATCTGCTGTATATCTACTATAGTAAGTGAGTGCATATCTGCTGTAGGCTTAGTAGTGTATATGGTTTTGCTGTCATCTGTTTTTCATTATAATGTGTAATTAATAAACATGAGCCTTTTTGAATTAGACAACTGGATAGAAAAGCAAGTTAACATACGAAGTTAACTGGAATGCAATAGTGCCCTGTTTCAGTAAGTAGGTAATGTTTCCAGTCTCATGCAAAATTTCAAATTCAGTGAAGTAAATGTTTTGTGCTTTGGGAATGAGAGTGTTGTTCGTTTCATAATTAAGTTGTGGATTATACCTTGAGTTAGTTTACATAGAACTGAACTGAGAGAAATGAATTTGTTGGAGACTAGTTCTTTGTTACCTTTTAACAAATTCAGTTAACATTTGAATGTTTCATAACATTCAGGGTTCAGCTATAAATCGAAAGATTTAAAAAATTATTTGTTAGTGGGATTGTGAAACCTATTGCACAATTTCAAAGAACAGAAGGGGGGGGGGGCATAAAATAAATTAAATCCTCTTAAGAAGTTATTTGGATTCCATATGTTACTAGTCAGATTGCCAAATTCAGGTAGCACACCATTAGGCTTGCTTGTGAAGACAGATTAAAAAAATTGTTTGAGATGTGCACAGTCTGTTTATTTTTTTTTTAATTTTTTTTTTCAAATATTTTATATTAGTTTTGATCTAACCAGTGTTTGTAAAACTTTGTTCACTTGTATAAATATGTGAGCTAAATGCCTCAAAATCTTTTTTTGTAACAACAGTCACAGCTATACCCATCAATTTTTAATTATGTTTGCTCATTTCATTTGAAAGCACATTCTTTGTGAGTTTTTAAAAATTTGCCTTTTTCTTTTGAAACTGTCTTCATGCTAATAACTAAACTTGCTGACACTTAATCCAATTAATCATGGTGACAACCAATTCAACTAATCATGCTGACAACCAATCCAACTAATTATGCTTACAACCAATCCAACTATTATTTCTGTGTTAAAAAAAAGTTGTTTAATAACTGATAAAAAAAATAAAATTTTAATTTATTTATTACTTTGTATATATTTTTTATTACAGAGAAGACTGTGCAAGATAGAATCGCAAGCGAAAGAATCGCTGCAATAGCAAGGTTACAAGCAGAACACAAAATGAAAGCTGACAGTCATTTTTTTGAGAATCTTCACCATGAGCTTGATGAAGGTTCAAATTATAATTTAATTATTTATTAAGTTAATTTAATTATTTACAAAGTTACACATTTTGAAGTTACACATTTTGTTTTTATTTAATATCAATTAATTTAAAAACTAATGAAATTTTAGATTTTTTAAATTATTGCTTATTTTTATTTTAATTATTATTATTGTTATTAATTAATTTTGTTATTACTATTGTTTTTTACTACTATATACATTATACTTTAGGACAACATATGCGTGGCCAGCAATACATTACTGTACATTTCAGAAATAAGGCAGGTCCACCAGGGAAAATAAGAATTAAGTCTAGTATCAAACCTGAAGGATATTTGTTGGGTGAAGACACTTTTAAGTTAAGAATTGTATTCAAACACCAGTTTTTATCAGAAGTTATTTTTAGTGGTGTTGATGAAAGGGACAAGCCACAACAAATTTTATTAGATGGACAAAAAGAACTTAAAATAACACCAAGCGCCAACCCTACTGATATGAAAGATGTTGTTGTAACAGCTGTCCAGGATCCAAATGGTATATTTATGATGTTAAACTACAGGGCTTAAAAAAGATGTTGAAAATTGACATCCTTGAATCATTCCCAAATCTCTCCCCAAACAGCAACCAAAATCTGTTTAATTTTTCTGGCATAACAGACATGTTTGATTGTCCACTTGTGCAGATCTTAGAAACACTCTGGGGGTGTCAATGTGACGACATCTGTTTTAAACCTTGACTATATATATATATATATATATATATATATATATATATATATATATATATATATATATATATATATATATATATATATATATATATATATATATATACATATGTATATATATGTGTGTGAGTGTGTGTACAATATACAAAATATATTTTTGTTCCACAATATATATGTGGAACAAAAATGTATTCAGGATAAAAACTTATTTTATTAAATTCAAAAGTTTTGATAATACCTAGTTCAATTAGTTAAATGCAATATGACCTTCAGCGAATCACATGAAATAATAAATTTCTGCATCATATAATATGACAAGATTAAATTAGATTTCAGTTCATATTAAGTCATACTTAATCAAGACAAATTTTGCTAATGATGTGACTGATTGCCACTGATGGTGGTATTTTGTCACATGATAATTCAAAATCAATCACTATTTAGTTGTTTCCATACTCAGAAAAAAGTCTACTTGCAAAAAACCGTTTTCCCCCAATACCCCATTTTACACCAGTTCTCCCTACATACATATATATATATATATATATATATATATATATATATATATATATATATATATATATATATATATATATATATATATATATATATATATATATATATATATATATATATATATATATATGTCATTATATATATATATATATATATATATATATATATATATATATATATATATATATATATATATATATATATATATATATATATATATATATATATATATATATATATGTATATGTATATATATATGCCATATATGTTTATATATATGTCATATATATATATATATATATATATATATATATATATATATATATATATATATATATATATATTATATATATATATATATATATATATATATATAGGTCATTCATCGGCATATCTACGTTCAATTTCAGGATCTCCGATTTTGCCAGTTACAAGCCCACTTAAAGGTATTGATAATCCTCAAGCTAAGAAAAATCTCACGTCTGAATTAAATTTAAAAGGTATTAAGTTTTTTTTATTTTTATCAGTTACTTGTTATTTTTATACATTATTTATAAAGTTGACTAAAACAAAAAAATTGTTTGCCTCACAAAACAAAACTTAATTTAAGTTGACTCACAAAACTAAACTTTGTTCATGCCAACTCTCTTTGTTTACAACTATTAATGAAACATAATATCTAAGAGTTTAAACTAATTTTTTTTTGTTTTAACATTTTTCTCAGTTTTTATTATATTTTCACATTTTACTTAGTTTGAGAGATAACTTGTTTAAATAAAATGTAGAAAGTATGAATGAACTATGAAATGTATCATTCTTACTATATATTAGTATTATAAAAGTAATATATTGTTCATACTATACATACTATATATACATTCATATATACTACAGACATGATATGCAAAATTAGTATGTATATGTAAATAAATATTTATGCAAAAAATGCGAATAATGTTTCAAGTAGAGTTCTTTTTAAATATACTTTTTATGCAAAATATTGTGCATATATTTTTTAAGTATATAGCTACTATGCAGACACACTTGACTTAGATAGAAAATGAATTTTACACTACATCACACTAAAAACTGGTCATGTCAAATAATACACTGGACAGAAAAACTGGTCATGTGAGACAAGACTGTAATGCAACTTACTACAATTAAAGGTTAGCACTCGTGTCTTGTTTGTTCGTGTTTGTTTACATATTCTTGTTAGATATTTACGAATAGTATAAATGATTATGTGCTAAATGTAATATTAAATTAAAGGTTATAAATGTTTTTAAAATTTATTTATTTAATAGAAAATAGATGTTAAGTATTAATACAATAATTTCTTTAAGTTTTTAATATTACTTATAATAATTATATATTATTTTATTTTTTCAAGGTACAAATTTCCCAGATATCTATGAATTTACATATGATCAAGATGTTGGACAAAAGAAAGGAATTATTGCATCATTGAGTTCTAATAACAAAACAAATAAATTGGTTAGAAAATTGATACCAGTATCAAATACAGGGAGATTTTACATCCGAAAACCTGAAATTAAGGAAAGCACACAGTTTAAAAGTGAAGGAGGTGGAGTTCTCTTATCAAGAGTTTCTTATCCCTTGATAAATCCAAGTAAAAGTTATGAAACTTTCATTAAACCGTTTGATGACTTTGATAATCTAACAGATGAACCTGATGATGAAGTTAATAAAGAAATAAATAAGGAAAACGAAAAAAATGTTATTAAAAAGGCATTTGTTAATGAGACTGTTTTTTCAGATAATTTGCTAAATGAAAAGGTAGAAGAAAAAGATAATGACATTGAAGAGATTGAAAATTTATCAGATGAAATTTTTCCATTAGAAGGCAACTCTGATGAGCGACTCTTGCGAGATTACAGCCTTTCACGAGATTATCATTCTGTAAAGAATATTACAGAAGCACTTAATGATCATGTTGTAAAAGACCCTGATTTGGTAGCGAAACTATTGAAAAAAAATGATACTGGTGGTGACCCTCTTGTTGATGACCCTGTTGTTGGTGACCCTGTTGTTGGTGACCCTGTTGTTGGTGACCCTGTTGTTGGTGACTCGCATGTTAATCAAGATAAGCAGTTTTTGAGATTTGATTTGCAAAATGATGGAAGTGGTTTAGGCGAGAATTTGCATAGCAATCAAAGTTCTGGTGAGCATTTGATTACATATAAAGATACAGCTGGTTTAAAAGACGAAATTTTTAATAAACGTGGACACTATCCCAGTTATGTTGATGTTTTTAAAACAAGTGAGAATTATGTAGAATTACCAGGTGAGTTAAAAGATGGAGTGCTGTCACATCAGGATGGAGTGCTGTCTCATCAGGATGTAGTCTTGTCACATCAAGATAATGTGCTGTCACATCAAGATAATGGACTTTTGCATCAAGATAGTGTGCTGTCACTCAAGGATGCATATCCGTTGGAAAATATTTCATCTCGTAATAAAAATTCAGAAAATGTTTTGATGAATCAAAAAAATTTTAAAAATCTTCCTTCTCAAATAAGTTATAAAACAAAAAAAATACTAAAAACTGATAACCAATCAGATTTTTTACATTGGAATAAGAACATATATAATCCAGAAAGCTTAATCAGTAAACCTCAAAATGAAAATTATATAAAAAAAAATTCAAATCAAACAGAAGTAAAAAGTATAGCAACTAGCACAGTTCAAAACAGTGTAACCAAAGAGATCAAAACTCAAAATAAAACAAAAAGTGAAGCTCTTGTAGTATTTCAAAAATCTAAAGAGAGAAAAGATCAAAGCGAAAAAAGTCAATTGAAGGAAAATCATAATAAATTGAAAACAAATGGTGATGCACAAGGAATAATAAATGATTTAAAATTGTTTTTAAATGTTTTCAAAAACAGTTCATTAATTGGTAGTGACTCTTTTACTGGGAAAGCTTTACCTTATGTAGAAAATTTACTAAATTCAGAAATAGTAAATAAACAGTTAGATTCAAAATCTATTTCCAAAAAAAAATTTATTAATATTCTTAAAACATTAGAAGAAAATAATCATCGTGCAAAACTAAAAACATTAAGTGAATTTTTACGTAGATACACTATGAATGATGAAAATCAGCGAAAGCGTTACGAAGCTTGGCAGAATAAGCATGCGCTTCCTCTATCTTCATATTATGCTGCCCCTATAACTGGTTTTAGGCGGTCATTTAATAATTACAATCAAGGTATGCCAAAAAAAATTAACAAACAGTTTTTAAACAAGATTTATCATCCTCCTTTTAATACATTTCAACGTCCTAGATTGAGTTTTACTAACTTAGCAAGACATATGCCTCTTTCTTATAAATTGAGTCCTCACATAAATCCAGTGAAAAGTAAAACTTTATATATAAAGGCTCCATACATTAGTTCTAATTGGCCGAGGTTTAATATAGTACGACCTAAACCTGCTAGATTCAACCAAAAATCAAAGTTTGCTTATAGCGATGCAACAACATTTTCAAACAAGCCAAACATAAGATCATTTTATAATACGTACAAGATTCAGTCTACTCCTCGTCGTCATATAACCTACTTCCAACCTTACCCTATGCCTTATTTCAATTACTGGAATGAAAAAAACAACTACAAGAATATTCTCAACAATTTTCGGTTCAACAACAATATCAAAAATTTATCAAATAAAAATAAATTATATTACAGTTTGAGCCCTGTAAATAATTTGCATTCAAAAGTGCCTTTTAATAAGAATGTTTATACTACAAAGCATAGCTATAGAACAGTTGATAACAGAGAAGGGGAGTTTGTCAAAAGAGGTTTTAAAAATAAGTTTTTAAATACTGCAGATAACAGTGCTTCTTTAGATCATAAACCAGTTGTTCGTGAATCAAATAGAATTTATTACAAAAAGTTTAAAGTTAATCCATTAACAGTTGTAGATCGTGAAAAATCTCACATCAAAATGAATAATGTATCAGTAAATTTGCAAGGTCTAGAATATATTAAGAGAGGTAAAGGGACAGGCTTTAATAAACGGAATGTAATTGTTCCTCTTTACAGAAGAAGATTATTTAGAAGAAGTATTATATCTTCGCCGTTATTTTTAAGAAAAAGGAAACCTTTAAATTTGCATACTAAAAATCTTCAGTTCTCCGCTCTCAGAACTGATAAATCATATAATTTAGTTCCAGTCCATAAAACAGATAAAGCAGCAAATGTGACATCAGTTAACAGTTCATATAAAAGAGATAACATTTATTCTCAATTTTTTCTCCACAAAACAGATAATATTAAAAAAAAACTCTTAACATCACACAAATCATTTAGAAACAAAGATTCTAATGATTTTATAAATACAACTGGTCAAAGAACAATAAAAAAATATGTTAAGAATAGTTATAAAGAGAAACAACAACAGGGTGAGAATCAGAAGTTTAAAAACAAAATACAGGCAAATAAAGAAAATAGTAAAAAAAATCAACCTTCAATGATTGAATTTAAAGGTTCAGTTAAAATGTTACATCGTAAGTCAAATGATTTAAAACAATTTATATCAAAGAGATCTCACATGATGAAACATGTTGAACAGCATCCCAATGTTCGTCCTGAACGTCTATTAACACGATTAACAGGAGAAAACTTATCTTTTTTAGAAAATGGCTTGAATAAAAAAATTAACTCATTTTTACCAAAACATCATTTAACAACTGATTTACAAAAGTACAAGGAAATTAATGACTTTTTAGGGCAAAAATTAAATCAAGTAATGAACACTAAAAAGGAGTTGCAGAATACGCGCCAATTTAAAACTGAAAGGTCCAATGCTAGATCAAAGCAGTTTGGAAAACAAAATGATTATAATAATTTTGTTAGAGCATTTAGTAGTTATAGTAATCCAGCACTTTACACCCCCCAACAACAAGCACAACAACAGCAAAAAGCAACAGATTATATTAAAACGGCTGGAGGTTTTTCTTCCACTTTACAACCATTGAAAAATAGCTTTAAATACAAGACAAACCCTATCATTAAAAATCAACCAATAAGTATGAATAACTTTTACTTAAATCATGCGCAGAATATCCCAACAAGTGACTTTTCTTTTCAAATGTTTATGAAACAAAATCGGTACTTAGCTGCGTATCTTGCTGCATTTTACAAAAAAAATCCGCTGTTATTTAGAAGGCTAAATACAAAATACTATTTTAATAACATGAGCCCTGAGCAATATGCTGTTTATGTAAACAAGTTTGTTGAACCTTTATATCCAACGCTACGATGGAGAATAGCTAACTACATGCTTGCAGATTACTTTATTAGAAATGGTTACCCAGTTGAGCATTTGGGCAGTATATATAGCGAGCCTCTTATAAAAAATGTTATTCACGATTACCAGGTTTATAAACAAATTACTCCAGTAACAGTTTCTTACCCACAAAAGAATTTATATAATCCTTCTAACACTGCTTACACATCAAAGATTACTAATATGTATACTACTCAATACCCAAATGCCAACTCTCAGCCGTATTCCAATATGAATTTTCCTAAATTTACCTCAACATTAAATTATCATCAAGATAAGGTTCAACCAGGAAACAATTGGCAAATAGGCTATCAGCAACCTGGTATTTTAATGAATCATATGCGTAAAAGTTATCTTTCAAGGCAATCCCGAAAAAATAATATTTTAAAAAAATCTCGAAAAGGTTTTTTTCCTAAAGAATCTCCTAAACGAGTTTTCAATCAGATGCGAATGTACATACCAAAAAGATATGTGTTTCCAGCTAAATTAATTGAAGGCGATTTTTCATGGAATAGACTAGGAGAATTTAAGAGAACTGTCATTGGGAATAAGAAAATGCTTAGCAAAAGGGAAAAAGGTAACTTAGTAGTTAAAGAAGACAAGAGTGTTATTGGTAATGTTACTGATGATAGTATAACATCTTTCTCTGTGAAAAAGATTTTAGATAGTAAACAGGTTCCAGTTTACGAGAATATAAACTCAGACAGTTTTCTTAAAAATGAGGCCAATGCAGATAATTCTAAATTAATCAGGAAAGAACTAAGTCAATCAATACCAGATATTAAAACAAAAACAGGGGAAAAATTTTTTGGAACCAAATCATCCACAGTTAAAACTGGTGAAAAAACTGCAAGTCTAAAACGATCTAGTATGTTAAACAATCCTAAAGACCTTTCTTCAATTTATGATAAATTAGAGCAAAACTCAAGTGCAAATATCTCAATTAACAGCGTAGATGTAAATGACACATCAAAAGGTTATGCAGATGATATTTCAATGCAAGACTTATTGATAATAGAGAAAATGTTTGACACCGCGCAAGCATTTTTTATGTCAGAAAAAAATAAAGCAAAGAAAAATAAAACGTTAAGAATGGACACAAGCTTAATCAATAACCAAAAATTTCCTTTTGTTGCTCAAAACTCAAGTAAAAATACAAATGAAATTTTACCACGTTTGGCAGATAGCTTCATAGTATCTCCCTCAGAAATTGTCAATAGTTCAAAGATATTTCAAAATCCAGTTAACTCAAATCAAAAACCAATAAAAGTTTTACTAAATGACTCAAAACTTTTTAATAAAAATCCCAAAACATTTGATTTCAAAACTATTGATTCCGAAACTTTTGATTCGAAAACTCTTGATTCCAAAACTTTTGATATCAAAAATCTAACAACAATGAAACCTAAAAATGATTTTCCAAAAGTTGTTTCACAAGAAAGCAGTGTGCAAAATAAGCTTTTAAAAGAAAAAAATAAACAAAGTGAGTTATTAGACGAAAAAAGTAAACAGAGTGAGCTGCTAAAAGAAAAAATTAAACAAAGTGAGTTATTAGACGAAAAAGGTAAACAGAGTGAGCTGTTAAACGAAAAAGGTAAACAGAGTGAGCTATTAAACGAAAAAAGTAAACAGAGTGAGCTGTTAAATGAAAAAGGTAAACAGAGTGAGCTATTAAACGAAAAAAGTAAACAGAGTGAACTGTTAAATGAAAAAGGTAAACAGAGCGAGCCTTTTAAAGTAAGTGCGCAGAACGAATTAAAATCCAATAGATTGTTGACAACGCCATTTGCAGTTAAAAAAGAAAAACATAAATCAATGAATCGTATTTCAAACAATTCTTCGCGTACTTCTCGGGCAGACTCAATCTTATCAGATAAAAAAAAAGTTAGTGAAGCGAATCATGAAAATCATCAAATGAATCACAGTCAAGCGAATCATGATAAAGTGATTTATAATAAAATAGAGATACGTAAAAATCAAACCACAAAAAGCCCCACATCTAAACCAACAGTATTTACTAAAGAAACCACCACTCTAAAACAAAGTAGAGAAGAATACCATCGGCAGAATGATAATGACGAAGCCACAAGTGAGTTAGAAGACGCAAAGGAAGCATTACAAACTAAGAATGAGAGAGAAAATCATGATATCATTATAAATCAAAGGCAGCAAAGTAATACAAGTGATACTGAAACTTTAAAGGATGAAATGGTCAGTGAACATGATCAGTCTCTAGGATCGAGGCAGAGTGAAAGGGTACCAACAGAACAGCTGAATTTAGAGGCAGAGAAAAACCATTCTGCACATTTAACCGCAACCACAAAAGATGACGAAAAGCTTGATGATCTTCACCAAACACTTGATTTGGATCGTTTGCTGAAGTCGTTTGATTTGAGTCCTAGCGACATAAGTAATGAAGATTGGTTTGAGTCGACCTTTCGACCAGATGCTACAACAAAACTTGATTTAAAAATAACTACATCAAAATTTCTCACGGACGTAAAAAGAAAGCATAAGCATGTAGAATCACCAACGAGCAAGCAACAAATGAATAACATTGTAAAAATTGCCGAGTCTAGTGAGCAAAATGAGTTGCAGAACCTTATTAAGGAATCTATTGGAAGTGGAATTAACAACGAATTAAATCCAGCTCTAAACTTGGTTAGTTCTGCCAAGGCTTCAGATGACAAAAATCAAAAAGTAATAGATAACGAAGTAACAGACTCTTCAAATATAGAGGGTTTAAAAGGTGCAGAAATAACAAACAATGAAATAGGAAAACTTGTAGGAGATTTACCAAACGACTTCGAAGTTGGAGAAAAAGATCCTAATGGATTTTTTGATGATGCTATTGAAAAGGGTGACGTAATTAATCAGATTAAATTTCAAGATCAAAAAGAGGTTCATGATTTGAAACTTGATCTTTCTGGTGATAGTGGTAGCAATGGGAAACAAAAACCATTTTCGTACATTGATTCTAAACGTAATAAAAAAAACTCGAAACCACTCAGCGTTGAAAACATCAATCAAGCGTTTGATAACGCTGCTCTCAGTAAAGATTCTCTGCATTTTGATAGAGGGCATCATGAGGAAAATCCTTTGCAAGTTTTTGACTCCGGTGGTGATAAGTTTACAGAAAATACAAGGACACCTGAAGACATCTCCAAAACCAAAGAGGAGAAATCACGAAAAAACAGTTTTGAAACTAAGTATCAATCTACGGATATAAATGATGTTAGAGACAAATGGCGTGAAGTTAATGGTCTGAATAAAGAAAAAGATAGCGATGAGATAGAAGAAGCAACTCTTACAACTACTCCTGAAACTACGCATGATATAAAACCACATCCATTAGCAGCAAAAGAGAAAGATAATTTGCTTGATAATTATTTCAAGGAAGTTGAAAATAGTCAGCACGATTCGAATTTTGAAAAAGAGTATAGCCAAAGACAATCGAAACGCAAACAAAAAATACAAGTCACTCTAGCAATGATTAATGATATTGAAAAGCAAATTGATACTATTATGAATGTTACAGAGGCAAGTAAGAAATTGAATCCGTTGAAAAAAAAAGGGAAAGAGGCAGTGTTTAATGAGCTTGTGTATGGTAGCACTCAGAAAAATGTTTTGGAAGATTCTGCAACAAGTGATAATAAGCTAGGTTGACGGTTTTTTAATATCTTATTCGACATGTTTTTTGAAGTTTTTATCGTTAGATTTTTTTCTTCTTTTTATTTTCATAATGTTACTTTTTTTGATTATTTTATTTTTGTAATAGATAATTTAGAGGAAATAAGAAGTCACAGTAAAAAGAGTAAAAAATTAAAACTCTCTGCTGCACCTAAAGACGAAAACGTATACACTGATAAACTCGAAGACTATGACGATTCGGATTCAAATAAACATTTACTTGATATTAGCAGCATGGTTGCATCGAAAGATCGAAAAGAACGTTTTCAACAGGCTCAAGCTCTCTTTAAGATCCAAAAAGATGAGGCAAATGAAGACTTACTTAAATTAAAAGAAATTACTCAAGACGGCTTGCAATCCATGTTTGCAAAAGCTGTTGCCAAGCAACAAAAGTTTATGGATGAGGTACAAGGTCCACCTGCGAGCGTTGTTGGGACGCAAGAAAGTAGCCATCCAGATTTTGAACACAATAAGCTTATCGCAATAGAGTCATCCACATTAGAATCTCCCGTGGCTAACTCTTTATCATATAACACTTCGCCACGTTTATGGAGACCTTTAGATGATGGAGATTATATTACTGATGAGGATGAAACGCCGGCACGTAAAAATCTTGTTTTGGATGAAGACCAGTACAATAAACGAGACGCTCTAAAGTGGAGTGATAGATATCAGGATAAGATCATTAGTGATGATGATCTAGACGATGATAGCGATGACGCTTCTGATAATGACACTGAGAACGATGATTATTTGGAAGAAAAAGATCAAGACGCATAAAGATTTATATACACATATAACTAATAGTAATGAAAATGCTATTTTTGTAAATACCCCGGTCAATAAAAAGCGTTATATTGGCATATCGCAATCATAATGTTTAATACATATGTTTGAGCGCTCATATTGACTCGCTAATGGTCTTTTTCAAACTGTACAAATTATGAACAAGTTTTACTTAGTTCTATTGTATGATGTATTTCAAGTGTTATTTGAAACTCTGAAAAACGCAGTTCTTTGACTAAATATCTTAAATACAAAGAAGTTAATAATTAAAGCCTAATATTCTGAACGTAATCACGTGTTATGCTATCACGAATACTTTCTAGAAATAATTTTCAATCAATTTTTGATTGTGAGATGAAAATGATTTAACTATTGAAAAATGACTTAGAATGTTTTAATGAACAATTATTTTTTATTTTATTTTTTATCTACTATATATATAAATATATATATATATATATATATATAATATATATATATATATATATATATATATATATATATATATATATATATATATATATATATATATATATATATATATATACTCGTAATGACTTGATTGATAAAGGAGAAGTTATATGCTTCAAGTTATCGATAATTTTAAAATTTAAAAAAAGGCTTATTAAATAAATAATTTACCTTTTTTTCCAGTTTTTTAAAAATCTTTAAATTTGTTTTAAAATACTTATAACTTTTTATAACTACATTTATTTATTAAGGCTTAGTGTTGCTTAAGTCACAAAAACAATTTAATTATAGACCTTAGTGTCATTGACCTGATTGTGCTTTAGTCAAAATTGAAGAACTTAGTGTTATTTGTGGTTAATTTGCAAAAAAACATTTTTAGGAAAATCTATTTTTATCAGTCTACGTAAACGGTAATTTTTAAGAGCTGTGTATTTTATAAAAGTATTGTAAAACTTTTTAATGTTTTACAAAAAAGTTTAAAAAAAACTTTAATAAAAGCTTTAATCAAATTCTATAAATATATCCATTTTATAATAGTCGATTTTATTATATGTCAAATAACATTAAAAATGTGTGTGTGTATATATATATATATATATATATATATATATATATATATATATATATATATATATATATATATATATATATATATATATATATATATATATATATATATATATATACAAGTGTTATGTCAAAAAAAATATATATCAATTAGCTCCGTAACGCCGTATATCATCAAATTTTTTGTGTGTCGTCGATTCTAACTTTTGTACGTTCTGGACTAGTTAGCAGTGCAGACCTCCGTGTACTCTTTATTTTAAAAATTACTTAAAAATTCTTAATTGGACAAGGTTCTGGCACGTTCACTAGACTTTTTGATACTTGTGGTATTATTTGTGTCGCAGCCAATCTGTGACTGTTTAAGCAATTTGTTGAAAATTAAAGCTTAATCAGGCCAAAATACATATGTATCTTTGTTATGATGTTCCTTAAAAGCCAATGAAAACAACTTATTGTTGTAATGCTTGTGATATCATCATGGGGTCCATGTCTGTTCATTTTAGCAATACAATTCTTAATCAGGTAGGAGCCATTTGCCTAATATAAAGAAGCTGTTGTCGTTAACGATAAAATTAGAATTTTAATATTATAAGAATTTAGTTCAAGTCACACTTCTTATCGACCTATTTGTTTGTTTTTAGCATAACATTTTTTTGTATTTATTAACATTCTCAATAAACGTAACCGCATTTCTAAAATGTAATGTTTGGAGATAATGTAATTTAGATAATGTATTTAGAGAATGATAAAATGTATGTGTTTGATACATTTATCATTGTCCGAGAATATAATATTATCTCATTAAAATGCGGGATACGTCTAATAGTTTTGTGGTTACAATGGAACCTTTTGCGGCTTTTTTTTAGTGAACTTTTCACTCTGAGCATTTTTAATATTCGAATTCCATTTTTTGAAGTTTTTATTAGAGGTATTCAATTATTTTGATATGGTGTTATTGGTTCTCGGGATCAGATATGTTTATAAACAGTTGATCTAGACCCACTGTTGACAAAGAAGTGATTTGCTACAATCAATTTGCCTTAGTAGATTTTCTGATTATAAATTATGCACGAACATAATTTTAAATTCTGTTTTATGTTTTTTTTCTTCTTTTTTTTTCGATCAGGATAATTTCTCAGAAAATAAGAATATTAATGAAGTGCCAATTTAAAATTAATATGTGAAGTAATTTTAGTGGGCGGTGATTAGGGTTTATTTGTTTGCTAATTTTTATTATGTTTTGTTTTCGTTTTGTTTTTAATGTGCGATTTATATTATAAAAGAAGAATAACTAAATAAAAAATTATGTTTTTCATATCTTAAATATCTTTGAAACATAGAAATATATAAATGATTTATTATAGTTTATACATTTCAAACTTATAGTTTATATGTTTCAAACTTTTAGTTTAAAAAAAAAAAATGATGGGTTGACTAAATAGTAATTTACGTTAATCAAAAAAGTTTATTATTTATTGTAAATTTCACAATTATTCTTCTATCATTAATGTATTATGATTGTCTATGATCTCTTGCCAACACTTTGGAAAAAAACGAATTCTATTGGTCTTTATGCTTTAAGTCAAAAAAGTTATAGAGATGTTGAAGGAGTACTGTCTCCTTGAGGTCAAAATTTTCATCGTGCAAGCCGTAGCTTAGTAATTTGAGCAAATAATAATCTGTTGATGTTAAGTCAGTTGAATGGGACGAATAAAGCAACTATTCCCAGCAAACTCCAACAATTTTTGTAATTGTGGTGCTCGGCATAAGCAGTTCTCAGCACACAATGTTGCGCACGTTCCGTCAAACCAAAAACGACACTTATTTAGGGTATAGATTTACTTTTGGAGTTGATCATAGCGATTGATCTGGCCCTAGTCACTGGTGCTTCTTAGTGTGGTTTACAAAGAATACCCACTTCTTAATTGTATTGTACGTTTAGCATGGTCAAACCAGTTAAATGTACGGTGTGAATACAAGAGGTTCGTGCATGTGTCTGCTCGCTGGCCTAGCTGACTAACGTTCAGTTTGTGTAGTATCCAATTATCGAGCTCGGAGATCTTTACCATTTTGGGCAATTTGTATTCCGTAGTATCATGCACGCACCAAAGTTCGCTTTCTAAGCAGTGCTTAGTTAGTCTCGGATTGCTTTCAACAAATTGATTTACACTTCCCCAAATCCAATAATATTTATCTGCCGGACGAAACATACTTGTTTTGTTGCTGGTGCACATGTCTGACCACAAAACTGGTCACGTGCTCCCCGGACTGTTTGCCATGTTTTTAATTTTTATATGTTTGACTATTGACCCGTCAACATTAAATTCATTTCTTTTGTTACAAGAGAATTTCAATGTCTTAAGATTCTAAAGTTTCATAAACTATTGAATCAAAGAATAATGAGTTGTTAAGCTGTAGAAAACGTGGCAGTTCTGTACGGAAATTCTTTACTTATAATAAAAAAATCTCTGGCAGAAAAAAATTCCAGTAATTTGGACTAACATCTTCTGAGAATACAGACACACACAAAATTAAGATTATAAAAAAGAGAAAACACAAAATTAATTCAATTGAATGTCTTTTTTATAACTTTTTTTTATTGTTTAATATCATATTATTGTTTAATATTACATATACCATGTTATTGTTTAATATTATAATATTATATATTTGTATTTAGAATTATGCATTTATATTTAATATTATACATTTATGTTTAATATTATATACTTATGTTTAATATTTAAACTAATATAGGAATCGTTTTATAAATAAAATCAAAATTCGAAATTAATTCAATGCTACAAGAACTGAATAAAAACAGAAATATTTTCTTCTTTTTTTAAAAGATTTTTTTTTAGTTTATATTGAACTATTTTTTTTTTTAATTTTATTGCTTATATATATAACTAACACACTCATAGACACGATATGCAAACACAAAACATACGGAGGTAATTCGAACATCGGTTGTTGCACATTCCCGTTTATTTTCAACGATCGTGTGTATCATAATTGCATTCAACAATCCGATTCACAAAAGGAATGGTGTTCAACAACAACGAATTTCGACGAAGATAAGAAATGGGGATACTGCCATGGTGGGTTGATAAATAACGAGGGCGGCTACATCCGTAAATAAATGCTTTCACCCCGTTTTTGTGACGCATTATAGCCGTTTTTACACTTTGATGTTGTTTTACACTTCAATGCACACACCAATAGGCGCACTTTTAATTTGCTTAGAATTAGAACATTTTTCAAAAAGCCTTAATTTACGGAAGTACGCCCTTTTTAATTTTTAATTTTTTAGTTTAGAAGTTCACTTTGATTTGGCTATAAACTGAGTGCTACTTAAATTGTGGTTGCTTAAAATAATCCTTAAATTTAAACCAATGAAATTTTGATTCAAATTAAAAAGGAAAGCTCTAAGAGGTAAGACAAATTTGAACCAATTTGAATTTAAAAATTAAAGCAGAGCTGTATGTGTACGTGTGAATGTTTGATAAGAAAGATAAGTTTTTTGTAGTTCTTTGAACTTGTTGTATTCACAATTTAAATTGTTTGGGAACAAAAGCTGTGTTAACAATTCTAATATCAAAGTTACTTAAAATTCTGTTAAAAACAGTGGTGTAACAATGGGCCCGCAGAGGTCGCAGATGCATGGTGGGGTAAACTACAGGCAAAATAAGGGGCATTTTCAAGCCTGAAAAAAAAATTATATAAAGGTAAAGCAGAACAGTACGTCACGAGTCATCGTCACGATATAAGATCAACAAATAAAATTATAAGTATAAGATTTTAAATAAATTTTAATTACAGTTTATTTACAGGTATAACATTAAAATCTAATTATAACATTTTTATTCTAATTATAACACTATAGTCAATTCATAGCATTACAGTCTATTTAAAACGTTATTGTCTATTTAGAACATTGTCTTTTTAGAACATAATCTGTTCATAACATTATAGTCGATATATAGATATAAAGTTATAGAAGCAAATACAAATTATAATTTTGAGAGGATGGAATAATAGTTATTTTAATAAAACAATAGTTGTTTTATTTAATAATAAGTTAAAAAAAAATTAATTTAATTTAATATATTAATTTAAAGCTAATAATAACATTAAAAAAAAAGTTTTAGATTAAAAAATTTAGTTAAAAAAAAGTAAAGATTAAAGGCTAGGAAGAATGTTCTAAGTAAAACGAGCTTTAAAGTTGATTTTCTTGTTTGTTAGTTATTTAAACTCATTTGGAAAAAACGTTATTTGTTAAAGATGTGTTTTTAAAATATATACATGATAATTTATGGGATAGAAAGATAGAGAGAGAAAGATAGAGAGAGAGAGAGAG